AGCAGCAGCAATAGAAGCAAACATTGAAGGAGAAACGACAAAAAGGTATAAATGAGTTCAGCAGCAGCAGCAGCAGCAGCAGCAGCAGCTTCGCTAGCACGATCGCCTAATCCGTGCTGCTGCTGCTGCTGTTGCTGCTGCTGCTGCTGCAGCTGCAGCAGCTGGAGCTACTGCAGCAGCAACAGCAGCAGCAGAGGAGTGTTTCTTGTTGCAGCAGCAACATATACTTTTGCTGCTGCTCTCTCTACCTCTCCTCCCGTCTCCTGCTGCTACTGCTGCTGCTGCAGCTGCTGCTGCTACTCCTGCTGCTCCTGCTGCTGCTCCTGCTGCTGCTGCTGCTGCTGCTGCTGCTCCTGCTGCAGCAGGCCTGGTGGTGTTTCATCAATCCATTGCTGCAGATCAAACGCGGGGTCAGCGAAGAACTCAGCAAGGGATTTATTTCCTGCTGCTGCTGCTGCTGCTGCTGCTGCTGCTGCTGCTGCTGCTCCTTCTGCTGCTCCTCCTGCTGCTTCTGCTGCTGCTGCCTGCTGCTGCAGCTGCCTTGCTGCTGCCTCCAAGAAAGGCAAATCGATGCCTTTAGCAGCAAACCATTTCACCTTCTCCTGCTGCCGTCGCTCCCTGCAGCAGCAGCAGCAGCAGCAGCAACAGCAGCAACAGCAGCAGCAGCAGCAGCAACAGCAGCAGCAGCACAGGTTGTCAATATATCTTACGGCATGCAGTGCCTATACCATATAAAAATAAAAAAACAAAAACAACAGCAGCAGAAACTGCTGCTGCTGCAGCAACAGCAGCAGCAACAGCAGCAGCAACAGCAGCAGCAGCAGCAACAGCAGCAGCAGCAACAGCAACAGCAGCACTAACAAGAAGAACACCAACAAACCAGCACCAGCAACAGAAACAAAAACACCACCACCACCACCACAACCACCCCCACCACCACCACCAGCAGCAGCAACAGCAGCAGCAGCAGCAGCAGCAGCAGCAGCAGCAGGAGCAGCAGGAGGAAGTATACCTGAGTGCATCTAGCTGCTGCTGCTTGACTAGTTGCTGCTGCTGCTGCCCCCAATGTGCTGCTACCTCAGCTAGCTTTGCATGCACGCGGGGCTGGCGTATACACGAGAGATAAATTTTTCTAAGAAAAGATATATCTTTGTTGCTGCAGCAGGAAAA